GCTAGACCCCTCCGAGCCCTGCTGGACCCCCACTGCCGGCCTGCATAATGCATCCTGTACAGGCTGTAGCCACTGGGGCAGCCCACACTGTGACCTGAGAGTAAGAAATCCCTCGAAAGCCCTGTTTCCTCATCTGCATCACGAGGAGATAACAGTAAGGCCTCATGGGCTAGTAAATGTTCCCCCACAGAGCAAGAGTCTAGCCTCCCCGCTCCACGTTTCTATGGTCGGCCTCTGTGCCGTTGGAACCTGTAAGCACCCAATTGTGGGGACAGGGCAGGCCCCCGACCTCACGCTAGGCAAAGCCAAAAGCTACAGGTTGAGACAAAAGGCAGCTGGAAACACCAACAGGACCCCACTTCCCTGATGCCCAAGATGGAGGCACTGCTCAGAGCAAAGCCACAAACAACAAACAGCTCTGCTTATTCTTCTCTTTCTCTTAGTAGCTGCTGTTTCTCTGGCCAAGAGGAGATTTCTGGCTCCTGTAGAAAAAAAAGTTAAGCACGTTAGGTCCAAGAGGAGGAAACCGAGGCACCAAGAGGTGAGGTTCTGATCTCTACAGAGGCAGCCGGGAGGAGGGCCTCTGGAGTGGGCTCTCTAGATGGCCAGCAAGCAGGGAGACTGAAACACACATTGACATGGTTCTCTCTCACACTTGTGAGAGCATGTACTCCAAAGTGGGGGAAATGGGCCTAAGGAAAAACCCTCGGATGTCCCCAGGAGCTTGGGGAAAGGCAGAGGCAAACAGGGCTTTGGTGCTAGGCTTGCTACGGCTGATCTCGGCCCCCACCCAAGGTAGCTTTGACCTGGCAACCTCCTTCCCAGCTCTGTTGGTCCCCCGGGCAGGAAGCCAGTTCCTCCATCTGGGCAACTGCACCGAGCGGAGGACAGGGTCCGAGGTCTCCTTTGGGACGTCAGCCCAGGGAGCCAGTCCTTGGGTCCAAGCGCTCCTTGGAAAGGTGCGGGTTTGGGGGCTGTGCTGGGGCCACGGCGAGAGAGCCTGGGGCAGGACAGCCGCCTCGGGTCTCCAGTGGCGGGGCTTCTCGGAGATGGGGAAAGAGGAGGTGAGAAGCCTTCCCCGGCTGCAGACATTCCCTAACTGCGACTCCGTTTCCCCATCAGTACTAAAAGGGCGACGAACAGTGTGACTCCACAGTCCCCCCTGGGTGCAGAGACATTTCGCGCTTTTACTAAAGAGCCCCACTGTGTCCTCGCGTGTTGCAATCCCGACTCCGTCAGGCTCCGGGTTCACACTTCGGCCTTCCGAAGCCCCTGCCCGCTGGCCCATCCTAGGCCGCATGGTCCCCAGGAGACACGCCAGGCTGGAGACCGATGTTTCTCAGCCGGGCGAAGAGCCTCCTCGCCGCGGGCGTACGGACCCCGGCACCTCGCTCCCAACGCGGACGACTCTCCAAGCCGCCGCTTGCGCGGCCCGCCAGACCATGGCCTTGCGCCCCGGAACGCTACCGAGAACGGCCCCGCTACCTCCTTCTCTTTCGCTTTCGATTCGGTGCACGCAGGTTTTCGTTGCTAGCCCACTGCTACCTTCCCATCCAGCCGTCCGCGAAGGCAGCGCTCTTAGCGCAGAGGTCTTGGGAGACGAGGGCAGGGCCGGAGACCCCTGGGGCACCGCCGATGGGCTGGTCTTGATTTGGCGAATTAGACGCAGAGTTTGAATGCTAGAGATATTTATTTTCTCCCACCGGCACAATCCACACACCACAAAATGTGTAAACTCCTCCTGGGTCATATTCGAATTTACTCAAAGAACCGGGATGTGTTTTGTGTAAGAGAGACCCCCCCCCCCAAAAAAAAGAAAGACAGCGAGAAACCGAGGCTTGCACATTAGCCGTAAGAGCCCGTGGGTGATTGTGGGATGATGGAGGGAAAACTCAAGGCTGGGAGCTGTGACGTCGACCCCGGCCAATTTGGGGGGTGGGGGAGGAGAGGCAGAAAGATGCTTTTAATTTTTCACTTTGTTCGTTTCTGTAGCCTCCAGGCTGCTCTGACAGTCCAGCCGAAACACACACAGTCTGAAATAGAAAAATAGAAGGCCTGGATTAAAGGTCTAGTATTATTTTAAATCAGTCGATGCGCACAAAGTTTTCTTTATTATAATTTATATATAGTAAAGTACACAGTTAAGTGGAAAGTTTGAAGAATTGTTATGTACGTGTTCGCTGTATAACGACCACTTGGATCAAGACACAGACCATTTACCTACTGTATCTGTAAACGAAAACTTTGGGTGGGGGGATTTTTTTTTTAAGTTGTTGTAAGGAAATTTCAGAAGAGACTTCAGGGAAGCCCGAGAGCCTGCCCTCCCCCCACCCCGCGCCCCCGCGCGCCCCCTGTTCGCGATAACGGCGTTTCTTGAGTGGGCTGACCTTGTACTCCCGGATTTGCGCGGTCCCTACTCTTCGAGCGAACTTCGAGGGGCTGCGCCGGGAACCTTGCCGCGGAAGACTCTCATGAAGTCGCCGAAGCCCCGAGTTTTGCCCGCTGCAAAGAGGGGCCACAGCAGGAAAACAAGTTAAAAGTACCATACATAAATTTCTGCCGTAGTTCCCGAGAACCTTCGTTTCAGAAATCAGCTGGGCGCTCATTTCCGTGGGCATATACCTTTTCACCTTGGCCTCAGCTCCTTTCTCTCTTCCCGCAAGTCTGCCCTCAGCTTTGTTTTTAGTGGCAAACTGAAATATGAAATGGAAATGTAAGGGCCTTTGCGTGTTGGTGTGAAAGGAGGTTGGAGTCCCGGCGTCTGTGTGGGGTTCGGGCTTCTCCACCGACCCCTGGACCAGGGTGCCCGGAGCAGCAGGCAGGGAAAGGATGTGAAAACTGTCGGGCACCCGCGAGGCTCCGAGGGCCTGGGATGGAGAATGGGGAGGCCGCGCTGGAGTGGGTGTGCCTTTCACTGCAAGGAGAGGGGAGTTGGGGGCCGGATGCGAGAGAACGCTTGGCTGGAGAGAACTCTCAGCACCCGCAGCCTCAGCTC